ATAACTATACTGAGTTAGTTTATAAAAATTAAAAATATTGTTAAAATTTTGAATAGAAAAAAAAATGAACCTCGGAGAAATTGAGGATCTTTCTGTGGCAATAAAGAGAATGACCGGTGCTAAGAGACAAAGATGTCTCGACACCTAAATTGGCTGCAACAAAAACAATTAAATTTGAATCAAACAGTTGAAATTGGGGGAATAAAATAGCAAGAATTACTAAATAAGGAAAGCAAATAAAATCCCAACACCTTCTGCATCTGCTGTGAATGTTTGCTTAAAACCATATTGTTCAACTTCATCAATGTTATTGGGCCTGTTTGCTGTTGAGTTGAGGCCCATAAAATCTATCTCCATTTCAAGATTCTTAAAAGTATATAAGATGAGAACAAAAAAATAAAAAGTGAAATTGAAATATGAATTATTTTCAAATTATATATAAACTGAAAAGAATTAGAAGATTTAACTGCAAGAGGGTGGAGAGAGAGAAGGCAATATAAAGGGAGAAAAAAAGTGAGGAGTTATTATTAAGTTATATAACGGATATTTTTTGGTTGTGGGGGTTGGGATGAATTAGGGCAAATTGAATGGCTGGCTAGCCTTTTGCAAAGTGAAAAACACGTGCTTATAGACTGGAAGAAAGGAAAAGGAGGCACCACGTATATGCAGCTGGTTAGTTCATCATGACAAACTCTTATTGACAAATTTGAATTTGGGTGTATAATATCATTTTGTCCTTTTGGCAGACACTGGATCGGGTTGGCCCGGAACTTTACGGGCCGGACACATTGACAACCCTTTTCGGATATATATATATGGCCACGGTTCTAACCGGCCTAGTCAAGCCCGTTAACTGCGGGCCTTGATATATACTGGGGTCGGTTTTCGATTCACATAAAAGGTTCGAACGATTTTATCATGTCTGCGTTAGGACCATAATTAGAACTGGACAATTGTGATACATAGACCTGTTTCCATTCAAATTTGGAATCAATTTTGAACTGGAACCGGATCCAGTCTGTAGACGTGTATTTTCAAATTAAGAGCTACAATTTTGACCTGGTCGTTGAATCATATAGCTATTTTGAGAAAAACGGACGAGAACATGAAGTTCACCTAAACCGGTTGGCGATGTGCCTGACCTGGTTGACACATCCAATTTTCAGTTGTTTGTTTGTTTGTTTGGTATTCTTTCACCTTGGAATCATTAAATCGAATCGGAATTGGACACTGACCCGATGTTTCAAAAACCAAAGTAAGGATGCTATATTTGTTTATTTTATTTTATTTTTTCTAAATTTTAGACTTTTTAAAATTTTTAGATTTAAGTGAAATTCTTGAGAAATCTTACGACAGGTGTGGGATTTAGTTCATAATTTTTGTCTTTAAAACAAGTCTTAAAAAAATCAGACAAATTCAAGTGATAAATAAAAATAAATACCACATTACTCTTAAAATATTTTAAAATTACTCTCAAATATATTATACCCTAGGATTTTTAAAAATTTTGCAAAGTTTAACACATCGAAATTCTTAAAATATTAAACGATCTTTAAAATTTTCGAATGAATACACAACTCTTGATCCGTCGGTTCATGTGCACCTTTTGGTGATGGAGACTGCCGAGTTTTTCTTCGCCAATAGGCCTATCTAAAAATGTGAGACACGCTCAGTATTATAAAAAACAAGTTGTCTAAATGCATTCTTCTAACTTATAATGATGTTACGTGAAGGAGCATCTTGTGGAGTTCCGTGTGTTCATAAAACTTAGTACTACTTCACATAATGATTGATGTATACATCGATATGTGTTCATCACAAACGACAACTTAGTACTTACTTTGGTATATTATAAAACAAATTGACCATATTTAATGAGCGAGTTATGTGAAAAGTGATTTTGTATTTTGGTATCAATTCGAGTTCAAAATTGTAATGTAAAATTTACAACCACAATAAAAGCAAATAATGGACTAAGCACCCTGAATTGCTGTGTATGATTATTTGAACTTTTGCTCATAATATATACTTCTTGTATATAGAAAAATCATTTTGTAATAATTTAAATTATTAAGTGGTAATAAAGTGGGTTTATCATGGTGTTCACCATCCTTAACATGAAAATTGTAGTTAACCGGCTTAATGGTTAGGGAAATCAAATGACCATAATTTTTTTTGGTTTAAATTGAATACTTATGTTATTCAAGATTATATTATATGTTTACTAGTATATTTTTATACGTATACGCATAATTTAATCGCTAAGTTTAAATATTTCAACACATTTGTTATATGAACATACTTTACTTATGCTCTATTTTTCAGTATCTTTGAGTATTTTTATGTATGACAAAACACGAAGGAGAATTCTTACTAGCCTAATGCTTGGCAGAAAAAAGAAAAATTAAAAGGCAGCTTACAAAAAGAAAGGAAATAAACATGGATTCGCATCAACTACAAAATGCTAGGGCAGTTGTTATGTGATCATAGCAACACTGAAACAAAAGCAACAAAAGCAAAATTCCAAAATATAATTGGAAAATTCTTCATGCTTTGGGTGACAAACTTACATGTCTGTGGCCATTTGCAGACTAGTTGATTTCAAGGTCACTCGTATTCCGAAGCTAAAATTCACATTCAATTCGTTTTCCGCAGATTTATTACATAATGCACCACAAAGAACCATATTCTACTTTACTGTATCTCATACATCTGCAGCTCGTAACCTTTCATCATCCGTGTTTTCTCAATTCTCGTTTGTTTATTTCCCATCATAAGAACCTATGAACCAACTAAATCAAAATAACTTTCACTTCTTACGCAATCATATTGTTTCAAACTCGACCTTAAGCAATTACACTAACAGAAGACCAGAGGCACTTGATGTTGACCTAAACGCACCAACAGAAACAAGACGCAAGAGGAAGTTATCAATTGCTACAAATCTCATTTCCCCTTTTTTCAGAGTGTACTGCTAACAAAAGAAAAGCAGAATTGCACATATAGAATTGTCTTATTTAGGTAATTAGTACCAAATTTCCCATGTAAGTTTTAAAATTCAATTGGAATGGTTTATTACCTGCAATGAATTTTTGAGTCTTACATGCAATCAAAGATGTGAAGTTATGATTCCACCAGTAAACACTAGATAAATAAATATATTTCAGGAAAGCAAAAATGCCAGCAGTAGTTGAAAACCAAGAAAGCCAGGCGTAGTCGAGACATTGTAAAAAATATGTGAAGTTATCAATATAATGGTGATACAAACTGGCATCATACCAACTCAAAGAATGAATATTTCACTCGGATGATGAAATACAAACATAAAATTTAACTGGAGAAAAGTTTGTTTATAAGCTCAAAGTAAGTCCTTAGAAATGAAAAATGAGATAAACATAAACGCATCAATTGTTCCACCCCAAAATACTTCATTTCATCATTAAGAGATCCTATTATTATTGCATCAAACCAACCAAAGGCCACAAAAATCATTATAAATATCACACTAATTCGACTTTTCTTCAGACATTACAACATAAGAAATCCACAAATCTATGAAATTACCAATACCATTAGAAATAAAGAACAGAGGTCACAGAAAGGAAACTCCTCAACTTAACCATGAAATTATACTGATATTTAACTTCAAAACCCATAACCAAAGTCGGAGAAAAAAACATACCATGACCAACAATTATTGAAACATAAACATAAAACTCCAATTCATCATCAAAACAACCCTAAAAAAAACAAAAAGCAATACGGAAATACCAAAACAGCAAGTGGCCAGGATTCCTCGCAGATCAAATCACTGCTCCTTGAGCTTCTCGATCCGCTTGTTGAGCTGCTCGATCCTGACGACAAGGCCGGTGACGGAGTAGAGGAGCCAGTAGAAGACGAGGGCGGAGGCGATTAGGAGCGCGTTGCGCTGCGACTTCATGATGGACTTCTGGTGGCGGAGGTGCTCGGAAGGGGAACAGGAGTCGGATTCGCAGCTGGGTCGGGTCTCGTACTTCCAGTAGATGTCCATGAGCAGGAAGAGGCAGAAGGGGACGATGGAGAGGAAGGGTTTGAGGAGGCTCCGGGTCACGGTGATGAGGCCATTCCGGATCGGGTCGAGGCCCGGCAGGGTTAGGAACAGGAGCATGATGGCTTCCGCGCCGGCGGCGTAGCCGAGGACCACCCACTCCAAGGCCATTATTTTTTACGGATTTTGATTGTGATCTAGAGAGAGTAAAGAGGAATTTTTGGGGAAAATTGCAGACAAGTGTTGATTAACGAGGAAGAAGAGCAGTTGTTTCGAGAGTTTTTGACCGAGGGGAAGTAGAGTGGGTTAAGGAAAGTATCTTTTGGTGGGCTTATTGGGCTCGTTTACGGCCTGCTAAGTGATAGATTTATGTTACAACTTGGGGCATGGCTATTTTTTTACTAGTAGTACCATAAAATAGGCATGTCTTAATGATAACTATGATGATATATTTAAGAAATACAATTTTTGGTCTAAGCCCTAGTTGACATTTTAACAAAACTATATACTACTCATGCTATAAAATGTTACACTTCAAAAGTTAAAACAATTTTGTTTTTTTCTTTCTNTAATACTTATATTATTTTTAAAATATGATATTGCATCTTGAAAGGGGACATAATTATTGAAAAAATGTGAATTATTAGATTTATAAATGTAAATGAAAGTCGAGCAATAGTCCTATTTGAGCAAAGCTCTATTTCATTCACTATTGCTTAAACTCAACGAGCCAAATTTTTTTTGGTACTCCTTCCATAAAAAATATACATATATTTAAAATCAGCTCGAATCATGAGCTTAAATTTCGTTGGTAGGCATCTCAACTCAAATTTGGCTCGAGTTTGTAGTATTAAGGTAAATAAATTGCGTTTATATTAAATCTCCTCGAGCTTTCAAACTTGTAAAATATCAGCTCCAATTACATGTGTAAGAACATTACTAAAGACGACATGAATTTGATTCACATGAATACACCAAAACGATTCATAGTTTGCTAGTAACATGAATGTTCTTGACTTTGGATGGCTTGGGAGTTGTATCCTTGGGTACAACCACAGTAAGCACGCCGTTGTCCACGTGAGCCTTGATCTGGTCCACCTTCACATCCTCCGGCAGCTCAATCTCCCTTGAAAAATCGCTTTTCCCGCCAAGTGTCTTCCTCTCGGCCACATGCCAAATGACGTCTTTCTCCTTCGGAAATTCCTCTTTCCCACCTTCAGCTCTGATAACCAGTATATTCCCATCTTCCACCTGCACTTTTATGTCCTCCTTGCTATATCCTGCATTCCAAACAAGGCCTTAGAAAATATATCCATCTTAACAAGGATTCAATTAATCCAATATTGAGACGTAACAGAATTTCAATAGGGTTGACTCCTCCATGAATCACACAGTGAAACTATGGAAAAATGATTTATTAAAAATTTGAGATGCTGTTAATACATAAATATTAATTTATATATTCCACATGTGAAGTAATATAAATGATAAGAAATTAAGAATTAGTTCTGCCTCAAATTAAATTTCTCAATAAGAATTATATTTAATTAACTACATAATAAAAAGTGAAAATGGAAAAGAACAAATGACAAATTAAATTATAACCAAAAAACATAAAACTATAAAAATATTAAAATCATGTCCAAATATATATAAGTAGTTGGTTTAATCTAAAATTAATTTAATTTAATCAAGGTTAAATAATATTATAATGGATTAAGTCAATATAATACGGGGCTAGATTTAAACTAAAACGAAAGAGATTTCTGATAAATTGACCTGGGACGTTGATTTTGAAGATGTGGGCAGCTGGGGATTCGAGCCAGTCGAGAAGGGCCGTCGACGAGCGGTGGACGGCGGGGCCCAGGAGGAAGCGCCTCCAGGGGTCACCAAACAGGGCCATTGTTCGATTTTCTTGAGAGGGGTAGTTTGGGTAAACAAATGTATGTATGTGTAGTTGTATGTAGAAGGGGAGGCACTTTATAAGTGTACCGTCTAGATCGTCTGGAAGCTTCGAGGAGCCTTATCAACGTTTAATTGGAATTGGTAGAAGATGATGAGAGGGGCGCTTTGGTCATTTGATTGCCTCTGTCGAACTTTCGGGACGTCATATAATTTTTAACTCAAATAAAAATATTTTTATAATGTGAGGTTCAACAATGGATATATTGAGTTACATTTTTTAGCAGAATTCTTGTAAATTAAATTATCACAGACATATAATTTTCATATATCAAATTTATTATGNTCATTTTTTCAATTAATACAGAATAAAATCATTGCATTTTACATTAATTGAGTGTATATAATATTTTTTAAATTATTTTATCGTATAATAGTTACTACCAATACTAACTAATAATAAATACGTTAAAATGAATGTGAAAGTACATACTTATAAGAATTTTTTTTGCAAAACTTTTTCTTTAAGATATTTAATCTACTATAAATATATTTTTCTTCATCTGATTATTTTTCTTTAAATTTTGTATTTTAGATGCATAACCAAACATCTTAAAATTGCGTAAATAATTGTTATAACACTAATAACAATTATATTAATATTTTTTTCATATAATTAATTGGTTATGAATCCTTCCAATTACAAAAATTGCATTATTTATACATTTAATGTCATTAAATAGTTAATATTTATACTAGTCAGGGGCTTAGTCACCCCAAAGGTTGGGGTGAGCTCCAGCCCAATCGATTTTTAAATTTAAATTAAAAAAATTAGATCCAATTTTAAATAAAGCAGTCCATTTAGAATTTTTGTCCAGTCTACTTTTGAGTTAAAAACTAAAAAATAAATATGATCCAAGTTTGAGTTAAACTCATATATTTCTGTTCCAGGAACTGTTCCTGGAAAAAAATGGTTCTAGAAACTGTTTCTGGAACTCATATATTTTTGTTCCCGAAACTGTATCTCGAAAACAAATGAATTCTAAAACCCATTTTTGGAACTCATATATTTTTGTTCCAGAAATATATTTTTGATCCAGAACTCAGATCTGTTGTGTTCCAGAAATCGTTTCTGAGACTCACATAATATTTCCTAGAAATAATTTATGGGAGGCAGAAATTTTATTTTCAAAACTATTAGTAATAAGATTTTTTTTATATATATAATTTTATATTGACATTGATAAAGTGTGAACTGTTCATAGCGGCTTCTGGGATGGGAATGTGTACAAAATGGCAAGACAGAGATAAATTTTTAGTGTCTTCGGACCTCATCATATGAAGTTTTTATAAATAAAGTTCATGACTTCGTGGGGATAGAAACATGTGTGATTGCCAATTTTACTTTTCTGTGGTCGGTGATAACCGAGAGTTGGAGAAATGGCGAATTTCTTGTGAATCAAATATTTGAAATGTGTCTGTCATGTTCACAATACCTACTATATATGTTGCACTACAGTCGAAAGATAGTTCTGGTCAGTATAATCACCTGATTGTACCAACGTACCCTTCGTATGGTAATACTGGAGGACAAGGTGGGTTTATGTATTTAGTTGCTGCTTAGGATCCACCTCTCTATCCATATGGTGTTGTGTATCCCTCTGTTATGTACTTACACAGTCAACCATCAATATCTCATGCGGCGAACAATGACAACTATGTAGCATCTGACACTAGAAAGATGGAATCAAATCAACTTGGTGTCTTACGTTATTCACCCAAACAAGTTGATTGGGGTGTGGAACAGTGGGTTCGATGGGGATTCTACTGGGAATGATGGAGGTGATGCTGACCGCGCGTCGCGACGCGGCAAATTTAAATTTATAATTTTTCCTTAACAAACCTCTATTAAATAGTAGTAGCGGCGAGTAAGGGTCGATCCCACGAGGAGTAGGAATTAAATTGTGACAATCTCGTATTAATTAAATTAAACTACGAAAGCAGTAAATGGGGGGATTGATTTATAAAACTAAAATAAAAATAAATAAAATAAAAATCAAATAAAATGAGAGAAGTCCAGTTTTCGGTTCAGTTATCACCCAATCTCAATCTACCGTTAATTAATTTTGACGCCTTCTCTAAATTGCCGATAAATTACCAACCCTAGCTAACAACAAGCTCTGTTAACCGAATTTTTCCTTACCGAATATTTAATCGAAATAGGCTCTTCGACTAAACTTAACTAGTGCACAACCTAGAATAAGCTCTCTAGATTTAATACACTAGCAGCATTAATTTCTAGGAAAATAGGTCAGTCTAAGCAATGGACGCACAAGCTCGGACCATTTAACTTATGTTCACGCTACCCTAGAGATGCACGACCTCTAGTTTACTACTAACGAAACGAGACAATAACTACGGATTAAAGTCTCGAATCTAGCAATTAAACTATGAATATTCAACCTAGCTGGCCAAACTAAATCAAACACCATAATTCATAAACACGATACACAGATAAAATGAATCAACTCATCGACAAAATAAATACGGTGTATCGATTAATCAACGATAAGAAATAGATCATTCAATTCATAGACAAACTGAAATTAGGGTTCAAACATCCCCTCAAACTGGATAAAAATATTAACCTAATATACTAATAAAAATAAATAAAAAGATAAAAGAGAGAATTTAATCTCCATCGTGTGCAAGTACGGCTTCCCTCCGCCTGTGTAGCCTTCTATCCTTCAACTCGTGCGTGCGTCTCTCTGTCTGCCTCTGTTCTCTCTTTTTTTTCTGTACGGCTTTTCTCGTGTAGTCTCGTAAAATCATGCCTCCTCCGCTCCCCCCGTAAATTAATTGCTGGCGCAAAATAAAAATCTCCCCACTTGCGTGAGTGTCCCAGCAAAATAAATAACTTGCAATGCCAAGCCCATTAAATTCCTCAGCCCAAAAATCCTCCACAATCCAAATTCTACTCCAAACAAATGAGTGTGGCAGCGTATTGCTTTTCCTTTTATGACCAATTGACTTATCATCTCAATTGGGCTAAATGTGTTCACATTCTAGGCCCAAATCATCAATTCCTTAGCCTTTTTAACTCTATCAATGAACTTGGGTTGGTACGAGCCTATCCGATAATAGCTCACGTGAATATTTGTCCAATGCTTCGGCTCCACAAACATACTCTAAAATACTGAAAATAAATATAAAAATATCAATGTATATGAATCAATTCAAATAATAAATAGGTCGAAAAATATAAATGTGCGAATAAATTAAGCGTATAAAAATACATTAAACATATAAAGCATGCACATATTTCGACCTATCAGATGCTGACGAGAAATATTCTTATGCTTCATTATTGAAGAAGATGATATGTTTGTCTCGCAAAATGGTGGAGATGGCAAGAACAATGTTATGTCCCCTTCAAACATGATAGGTGGTGTAAATGAGCATATTCTACGCAACCAAAAGAGTATAGGGATCCACGAAATTCCGCGGTTTGACGTTTCGAGAGCTGTTGCTATTGCAGAGGATGATTTGAATGAAATTGTTACTCGTTAGAGTAGTGGTTTGGCCGGTCCCCCGAGCAATTTATCACAATGTTGATTTTCATCCACAACTTGAAGAGCCGTCTATGCTAGATCATGACTTATCAAAAGGCGTTGTCATTGATAGTATGGAAGAATTGTTGATAAAATTGAGTTTCTATCATTTTGTACAATTTATTATACAAAATATGTATTGGATGAAAGTAGGTTGTACAATGAACAATTAGGGCACATAATATTTATTGTATTATTCTATTATAAAAATTGACACAATATTTTTATTATTTGTGTACTGATATCTTCATCCTTCTTTATTTCTGTAGGATGGATATCTTAAGTAATTCGAGAATAACAAATAACATTTGCTTTTATAAATATTTTTCAACAAAATCATAGACACTGCTTTATACATGTTAATTGTATTGAGAATTAAATATTTTAGGTATTTATGTGTTTTTAGATGTTAATTTTTATGTGGTCTGAATCACTTCAAAATGATAAACAACCCTCTATTTTGATGAATCTATTATTCTTATGTGAATTATATGATACATATCTAACGTCTAATTTATAAATTAATTTAATATTTATTCTCGCAGGGAATATATCATAGTTATTGGGAAAGAGATACATAAATATATATAATTTACAAAGCCACCATGCATTACAGATTGCTTCGAACTTTATTGAAAAACTTATCAGTCCGAATGTCTTTTTTTTTTAATATTGAAAATTTATAAACTATTTAAATAACCTATAAAGGAGATTTTAGCCATTATGAAACATACTCTAAACTATATATACAAGGTCTAAAAAAGTCATAAAGACGGTCTATCCTCCGTTCTTGACAGAATTAAGATAATGGTGCAAAAGAACACCTTTACAAAAAGAGTAGACCAAAATAATTCGAATATTCTTTACAATGGACAACAAGTGGAGGAGGACTTGTATATACGTGAAACCTTCAAAGCACCTTTTTTTCCCATGCTTTTGTCAACTCAGGGAATCTTATAGAATTTTATTTTTAAATTCCCGAAAGATAAACAAAGGCAGAAAACAGAAATTGAAATTTAAATGAAGAAAAACCATGAAACAACAAATTAATGGGCTATCAGAACACAGAAAGCATTTGTATCACCACTCAACTATTCATCTTCCCGTTATTTTCCTGCACAAAATCAAAAAGAGTGAGCTCGTTAACTTAGGAATCATGCTACAATATGATGTTAACTATTCACCATAAAGTAGAAGAATAAGATATGACCATAATATCAACACTTAGAGAATTAAGATAAAAGCCATGATCTTTTCTTGTTGCACTAAAATTTTATTTTTGAATGACAAAAAGAGCAATACATGGAGTAGTACAATATGAGATGGCTTACCATTTCTCCCAAACAACCTTCCCAGAAAAGTGAGGAAAATAATTACGAGTGCAATTCCGGCTAATAATCCGATTATTATCGCAAACGTTTTCTCCGAATCGCTATGACCCGACCCTACAAGTAAGTCCAACAACTATCTAATGGTCAATCAATTATACTATGAGCAAACTTTGCAAGTAAAAAATTTCAAACAAACTTAATGGTGAGGT